AATAATAATAAAAGATTATTTTTAGAAGAGTATAGAAGTTTTAGTGTCGTCTAGACGCGAAGAACGTGATACGCCGTAATTCGCAAGCTCGCAGACGCCGCTGCAAAGTGCCAGCTTCCAGACGTGGTAGGGGCGCGTCGAGATGCGGGCAACTCTTCCGCTCAAGAGAGCACGTTACCTCTCTTGCTTCCTGCCCTGCCGACATCTGCCACCTCACAATCGACGAGCTGGCAGGTTGCCGTCAACTGAGCTCCAAAGATGCCGGCTGCTCCTCTTTCGCCTCTTGATATTTTTCAATAAGGAAATTCCTGAAACGCACCTTCATCCAGAAGTTTTTTTTTAAGGTGAGACGGGCTAGATTTGTGGTCTAACAAGGAAGGTACTATCAATGGCCGTGGCCTTTTGATATGAGATGCATATCGTCTGAAGCAAGCTTCAAATTCTGATTTCATATCTGCTTTCCGTTTCTGCGAAACGTCCTTCTGAAGGGAGTTACGGAAGCCTGAAAATCCTATTTTGGGGGCGCTCTTTGAGTTTGAGAGCGGTGCTATGTGTGTCGGTGATGCAATGATGTAATGGCTAGTTGTTGGCTTTGAAAGCGAAAGGTCCATGGTTCGAATCCGGTGCAGAGAGAACCACTTTGCACTTTGTGTGGTTCAAAAACAACTCTAATTTGTCCTCAGCCATTTACTAATACCTTTAGCAAATGTGACTTAAGGAAAAAATTTTCTGGCAAAACCGCTTGCTTGTTGAGATTTGGTTTTCTGCACAAAAATATGTACAGAGATGAAGCGAAGTTACAAAGTGGGCAAAACACAGACATTTCTCACAACGGGAACAGCGTATGAACAAAAGCTCCGCTCAGTTCTCATGCTCGCAAGTACCCATCAAATCAAAGGCGGGAGAAAACACCTCGATTTAATGATAGCGCGCATTCCTTGAGCTTTATATAGTAACAAACATGCTTCATCTTGTTCATTCGTTTGATTGATCGAAGTCAGGTAAGTTTCAGATTCTCATTACAAGCAGTTATGCCAGAAAATTTTTCCCTTGAGTCACATTTGCCAAGGGTATTACGGTAAGTGACTGCAGACGAATTATAGTGGTTTTTAAACTCACATTAAAGTGCAAAATGGTTTGCTCTGCACCGGATTCGAACCACGGACTTTTCGCCTTCAATGCCAACGACTGAGCATTACATCACTGCACCACCGACGCACATGGCACCGCTCTCAAACCTAAAGAGCGCCCCAGAATAGGATTTTCAGGCTTCCATAACTCTCTTCAGAAGGGCGTTCCGCAAAAATGGTAAACAGATTTAAAATCAGCGTTTGAAGCTGCTTTAGACGATATGCATCTTCTATGAAAAGGCCACGGACATTGAAAGTACTTCCCTCGTTAGTTTTTAGCGACGTCACAACAAAGTGCCGGCAACCTGCCAGAGATACCTGCCGCCGGATCGGAGGGATTTCTACTTGCCCAGATTTATAGCGCAAAATAATTTTTCGCAGTCTTATCATTCAAAATTTTAGTTCTCAGCGTTTAATTTGATCGAGCTATTTTATTCAGAATTAATTATAACAAATTTACGCGAAAGAATCGCAAAATCGCACTGTGCTTCGCTTTCATACGCAACGTCTAATAATTACGTTTATTCGAAATTTCTATTTTTCATATTCGTGACCCTAAAGAGGGCTGTTGGGAAGTTGTTGGCTTCAAAAGAGGCAGTTGGGTCGGAGCTCTTGAATTCCGAAATCGTCACGAAGCTTTGTTCTCCAACATCGTAGACAGTGCTAAGGCGTAGAGACGTCCATGGTCTTTGTGCCTACAGTCGGTTACGCTACTTTGTAAAAGTAATTTGTCTGAATAATGCCTCCTCAATTCGTTTGATTTTTCTCATTTCCCCCCTTTTATCAGTCAGTAAAAATTATGAACTTTTCAGTAAAAGAAATAAGTTTTTGCGAGAAATGATGTCGACCAATGCTCCTCGCAACTGAATTGACGTCGTCTTTCAACTCCCCCCCCCCCCCCCTTCTTCCCTACCCCTCCCCTTCGATCGACAATTTGAACAGTGGGGGCTTGGCATTACCACCTTTACTTCTAAGGGCCACTGGTAGATGGAACCACTTTTATTTTTGGAAGAACCCGACTCCTCCTATCGCACCTCTAGTGCTGAGATAATAGGAGAAAAATACAGTCTGTTCCAACCCCAATCGGTCCAAAATTGGCATGGCGGGAGGTTCGCGTAGCTAGAGCACTGCGTCACACACGCGGCTAGCTTACCTGCTCTCTCTTCGACCTCTTCGCTCCCACAATAGTGTGCATATGCAGCGTAAACCTTAAGCGCAGCGAGCGCGCAAATCTGGGTAACGGTTCGGCCTAATCCCTACTGGGGCAGACTGTACAGCTCTTCGTCTTCAAAATGTTCACTGCTAGTTTTCTAAATTCCTATTTAACCTTTTTCGAGAATCTTCAATAGCCAGCAGATAGGGCAGATTTTTTGCCAACAAAAGTAATTTTTCTTTTTTAGCTACTTTAGGAGTGCTAAATTATTTTGCAAAACCCTTGAGTTCTAAATGAATTCAATCTTTCATATCAAACACTGCAAAGACTTTAGAGTAATGTGGTTCTAAAACTCAATTATCACTACTGATATTCTTACAAAGTAAATGAGCGACTTTCTCTTCAAAATATGAAAATTTTGAGGCTCAAAGTAGACGCTAGATTTAGCCGACTAGCTGCTTAATAGGATGCGGTGCACTCACTATTTTGGTGCCACGTTGGAGGTAATGGTAAAAACTTTTTACCATTCTCTCATATTACTAGTGTTTTTTTATCATCTTTACAAAACTACTGTTGTTGCGAACACATCGCAGACGCCACTACGATTTCTATCCAATGTGACGTCATATGGCATCATTTTACTAATTGCGTCCTTCCTGCTGAAGCAGGCAATCGGCTAGTCTGAGTACTAACTGCGGCACGTTAGTGCACACTTGTGAAATTAGCAAATACTGCGCTTCACTCAGCAAATTTCGTGTACTTCGCCAGAAAAAGACGACTGTTAGAGAAATGAGAAAAAGTTGCATTGAATATCACCTCAACCCTTCCATATCATGTTTCACAAGTTTAGAACAGACCAAATATAGAATTTGGCTACTTCAGAATGTATGAATATTCTGGGAAGGACAAGCCACGAACTGCAAAAACTTGCTTCAGTTGGCAAAAGGCTTGTCCTATCTGTCGGCTACGGATCCCTCAAATCCGAGAAGTTGTGATGTCTAGCATGATGTTATCTCAGCACTGTCTCAATGAATCACATTGTGGATTCGGGCTGGAAATGAAGACCACTGCATCGGATAAGCTTGAAGTGTTTGTTTATCTTTATTGTACGGAATCTGCTGGCCATCTAAAGAATGTTGCAACTTTTGAACCGATCTAATATTTTGAAAAAGCTTTGTTTGATCCTTTTTTTTGTTGCCCAGCTTCCGAATAGAATTACAATACGAGCTAAGTTTACTGGGTTAGAAACGTCGATAACAATGTGCTGGCATCTTACGTGGCACACCTCTGTCAGTACCTATCCTTTACATCTCATTTTCGTAAGTTGCATCATGGAGGTCGGTAAAATTTTCCACTCTTTACTTTAATAGAGGTTGTGAACGAAGTGACTCTTTAGTAAGATCTATATCTACTTAGGCTAACTTCTAAACAATAACTCCTCAAATTATATCTGTTGATTCGTGATTCGAATGTTCCTAGAATAGCTATAGAGGATTGCTGCATACACTCTGAACAGTTTGCAAATTTTTATAACCTAGATGTCTTTTTTTTTCGAAATCATTGTTGCGATACATTTCACACAACTTTTCTGGATTAATTTTTTGGCTGTGGGAAGAAACCGACGTTCAAAAGATCTCAAAGGGTCTTCGAAACTTGACATGGTAATGCTTCTCTTGTAAGATTTGGTAGGCACATTTGATAGGCAGCATGATAGCGCAAACGGTTATTTTGTGATTGAGAAATCAGTCTTGAAAGTTTTGAAATGTTTTCGTAGCAAATGAAGATAGGCTAATTTTTGATCCTTCGCATGCCAGCATATACTTAAAAATTGAGCGTCTTTCTTTGAGGTTATTCATTTTTCGATAAAATGATTTTCTAGATAAACTCCATCTGAAAGTTTTATCAAGGATCTGGATATAATAAGTTATTAGCTCTAATCGAAACATGCTCAGCACTTTGAATTAGAAAATAAGCAACATTTTGATGCTGTGAACCTAGAAGAAGAATAAGGTACTTCGAAAAAATACGGTATACTGCTGGGACTCGAGAAATTTAAAAAGATGGAAGGAACATATGGCTCTACACTTGCGCTTTTTTTGAATGATAGTAAAGAAACAAAGCATATTAATGGTGCTCGACAGACGTCCAGAGCCTATCTTTAATTTGAAAATTGCTGTTCAGCTATCTGCGTAATCAACCAATCTCTCTAGATCTTTTAAAGGCTTGCCCACAGCAAGCATCCTTATCTATACACTAGCCGGCGGTCCCGGTTTCACTCGGGACTCCAGTTTAGCTAAGAAGAAGTTACCCATACTTACGCTTTTGAGCTTCTTCGGCGCAAAAAGGGCTTTGAAACGAATTGCCCGCATCTTTCCGACATTGAGATTAAAATGAGCTTTACTGTCCCCTGACTACATGATCATGGCAAAATGATGGATTTGAGCATGTCAAGCCTCATTTTCCCAGATGTAAGTAAAGAAATCAACAAATCAATAGAAGGATCTAGTAAATCGCTGCGAAAAGTAGCCTATGTTCTGCGCCGGGGTCCAAAACATAAGTGTGCAAAGTTTCAGCTCATTTAGTCCACTCAGAAAGATTTGTATAAAAAAACATACTTATTAACAGACAAACACACTTTGAGTTTTATATATATAGAGATTCTCTTATGAGCGCAGTGCATTCGCCTGGGGTAAAAATGAACTATTACAAGAAAGAACATGAAAGGCAACAATTATTTCCAGAGTACTAACGCAGAAGATGAGCACTTATACGAAGAAGCGAGTTCAAAAGAAGCTGTAAGTATCGGTTTTATGTGTAACTCCAAGTTTTTCGTGTTGCAAAGAAAACTTCAAAGTAGTCTTGCAAACAACTGCTAAAGTTTTGTCTTAAATCTGTCTGAACAATATTAGCAATGATCATATGATACCATTAGAAAGTTACTGGAACAATACTAACACTTGAAACATCGCTTGTTGTCGCGGCTCCACGATGCAGAGCGCTCCTCGGAACAGGAGGCTGGGGGCGCTGTTTGCCGCATTTGCCTGTCGCGTAGGCTGCTGCAGGACCACCTCCGGTTTGGAAGGTAGCCAAGCGGCGGGGTATATAAGGCTGCCGAGAGAGCAGCCGCCGCCTCTTCCTCTTCGACTTTCGTGTGATTATCGATTATCTTATCATACTCGGCTACATTTCAAGCAGCTCCCGCATTCGAGGACTTTTGGTTGAGCGGTTGAGCCTTCTTTCGGATCTTGTGTGTCAGACGCGCGTAGGCGCAAGGAAGTTCGAAAGTTGCAGATGAACATCATGCGGGAGTGGAGCTGGTGAGTGCGCCGTTCCACTGGACTGAGCCCCCTTGCGGTCGGCTCTGAGGAGGAACCCAGAACTTCACAGTTGGAGTGAATTCTTTCATGCATCGGCAGCACGGGGGCTCGCGGCTCGCCCCGTGTTATATTCCGTTGCTTTCTTCTTTTCCTTAATAGTCTAGAAACTTAGTAGCTTAGTAGTAGTTTAGTTTAGTGTTTGTTGTATATATTTGTATTATGTCGTATATTTGTATTTTGTTATTTATTTATAAACTTAATCAATCCAGACGCACGTTATGTCGCGGGTAGGAGAATTGGGTGACCGCGTCGAGTGGACGCGCCGGAAGGTAACGTCGGTGTCGGACGCGTAACGTCCTAGGGCGTAGGACTGTAGTGTAAGGCAGTCGAGCACACGGCTAGGGGTGCTGGGCCCACTGAGCCGCAACATGGTGCATCGACGCCGCGCGCATGGTTGATGATGTTTTCCGCCCGCGCATGGAATTGGCCGGATTGGTGGAGGGAAGATCGGAAGGATCGTGGAGGGCGTCTCGAAGGATGCGCTATCTCATCCTCCATACGTGCGTAACGGACCCGATGTCTGCCACGCTCAGCACGCAGTAAGAAGATCAGGCAAACAGTGAAGCAGTGGTGAATATCTACGTAACCGGTGGCAAGAGTGCAACGAGGATAGCCAGGTTGTGAAGTATGGCGCCAGAGTGCGGGGGGAAAGTCGGTAAGACTGTGGCAACTTGCCAACCGTACCCCTATGCCTGAGCACCTGCGCCATGCGTTGCTGGTATGCATGCCGCGCTAGGAAAGGGCTACCCAAGTAAGGGCAGGTGTTAATGTCTTCGGTGGGCTCGACGACAGGGGCACTGTGGGTATAGTGCCAGCGGCCGCAAATGTCGAGTCATAGACGCCTTGATGGAATTGCTGGTGGAAGGGATCGAGCGGTCGGAAGGACGACGGACGGATCGAAGGAGGACCGATGGATGGAGACCTAGATGGGAGCGCGCAAGAGTTGTATCGTTGTACGTGCATTTCAGAGCTTATCGTTGAGCACGGCGCGCAGAAAGAGGGTGTTTGAGAGGCACGATGGAGTCGTATCGTTGTACGCGCGTGTTGGAGCTGTATCGGAGGGCGCGATGAGCTGTATCGGTGACGTGCCAGAGAGAGGGTCCACAGGGCGGGTTGGACAAGGATTGACAGATCGACAGACAGGGAGCGCGATTTCAGAGTTGTATCGTCGTAACGTGTATTTTAGTGCTGTATCGTCGAACGCGTCACGTGTTGTACCGTTGTACGCGCTGAGAGGGGATTGTTGCAGGAGGGCTTATAGGGTGGCTCGATAGACGAAAGAGAACGTGACCATTGTATTGTATCGTCGTACGCGTATTCCGGAGTTTTATCGTCGAACGCGACTTGTACTGTATCGTTGTACAAGTTGAGAGGGGACAGACGAAGGAAGGTTCGAAAGAGAATTATACCTGCGTTGGGACGGTATCGTTGAACGCGCGAACTTGGAGTTGTATCGGTGGACGCGACGACAAGCGCAGGTGGTAGGGAAACACCGTCTTTTTAGGAGCCTGGATCACTTTCGGAGATGTACGGAGGCATCTTCAGGGGATGGCGGAGATGTATGGAGGCATCTTCGGAGGACGGGAGTGCTAGGGGGTCCTCGCCCCAAACCCTAGATATTTCTTTTCACATTTTCTTCTATTTTTTCGCTATCCTTTCAGTTGTAGTCGACCCGGTAGTTTTAAGTTTGTAGTAGCTGTCCTGTACAGTTTAGTTAAGTATCTCTAGTCCAGTTTAATCTAGTTACTTTGTTAATTTCGCTAGTCGTTATTTATGTGATTTTTTACTCCAGTAATATTTATTTAGTTCTGTGATATATTTAGGTTTAGTGATCTCATTGTTACGGGTAGTTAGTCGCCTCTACGCGCGTATCGTAGTGTTGCATGGGCACCCCTTCGGGGGGAAGCTTCCGGTGGCCGGGGGCTCGGCACCTGGCCATCGAACCTGTGCCCTTTAGTAGTTTTTCCTACCCCCAGGCACTGTTGGTTAGCGGCCGTGGAAGGAGGCGGAATGTCGCGGACAGCGGAGGAACGTAACACCCGGAAGAGGAAGGAGGACGACAGCCCATTGGCAGGAACGGTTCGTTTTGGGAGTGATTAGGTGCCCGCGTATCATCGCTCCGATTTGCCGATAAGGAGCCTTGGGTAGTTTCGGACCGGCCTCCGGCATGTTACTCCCGTTGTACCTTGTCATGCGCACGCCACTTCTATCTGGGTGACGTGCTGGTTCTTCAGTGACACAGTGCTGTATCTGTTTGCCTTACGCCTGCAATCAGCCCTGGTCGTTGGTCACCCGTTGTTGGATAGTTATCGGTTGGGATAGTTTTGGTAGTGGTTGTTGGTTGAGACCGTTCAGGTAGGTTGATGTTCATATGTTATTCACATCATATTTATCCCCTTTTGTTACGTTCATTTGTTACTTGTTTCTTGTTGTGTTTTCTAATTTTTTGTTTTCTTTCTTTCTTTTTTTCAGATAACGCCGATTCTTGATTTCACATGGCTCGAGCCGTAGACGCCAAGTATTTTGGAGCAAGATTTTGGAGTTGAAGAGGCCACCCTGGAATTGCTGGACCTTACCATGGAGGCAGGCGAGGATCTACAATTCATTTCAGTCGCTTATTTTCTTTTATTCCATCCACTTTTTGATTTTTCTATTCATTTTTGGTCGTACTGACGCGTAGTGACGCGCCTAGAGACCGGAAGCCGAGAAGTTTGCTCGTCAACACCCGAGTGAGCGCAGGGAGTGCTTCTTCGTCCAGCGGGTGCAGAATCACTAGGACACTGGTGAACTGTACCAGATCTTGTGCGAAGTTGGAACTTTCTGTGATCGTGTTGATATTGCGTCTAAACTTTTGTCGAGCCTGGAGATGTAATCTTTGTTTCCTTTTTAACTGTTGCCACCCTTTTTAGAACCTTCCCCATTTGGACCCCATTTCCCCATCAGCTGTGCAGGGTATGAGAGTGGAAGTAGCTAGCCACTCATTGAGGGAAGGGCAACATTACACCGTCGATCTCTATGTTGCCGCGCCAGCTGACCACTTTACCCCACACGCGCATCACGCGCCTAGAAAGATTCGGCACTCCCTTGGATTAGCCCCTTTATACCCCCACTTTTTGTATACCCCCTACTCAGCCGAATCCACTGAGTTTTTCTTCCCAGTACTAAACTGGCCCCTCCTTTGTGGAACAGTTGTCAGTGTCGTTTATCTTTGAGGTTCGACCTTTATGTAGAGGCGAGTAGGTTTAAGTTTTCCGACGTATCTTGGTTGACCGCAGTACCAGCACGCGCTCATGTTTTTGCTAGTTCTAGTTGTACACATTTTACTATCGTCATTGTCGGCTTTCGGTACATGGCAGAAGATCGTGAAGGCGTAGTACAGATCCTGACGATGCAATGGTCGCTTGGAAATCTATTGCAATAGGCTCTGGCATCAATTGACGCATAAGTCATCTGCATCATACTTGTCATTGTCGCAATGCGCGACAGTTGTGTTGTCGAGTGTGTGAGCTTGATTAGATTTCCTTGTGGCTCAGTGTGATCAGCACGTTTAAGATCGTACGTGCCCGTCTACTCGGCTTTTAAGAATAGGCGGACTCGAGGGTAGTGCGGATTCGACGTGGACGGTTAGACGTTGATAACCATCACTGGGAAATCACAAGCGGGAAAGTTGACGTTGGATCATCAATTCCACAGTTTCTACCCCATAGTTCGACAGCATTCTTTATTTCCCTGTAGGTATTTAGGCGCGTACCGGAACCGATTTCGCGTTTACACCTCGTCATTCGTTCATCTCCTTACGTGTCCGTTTTCGTCGCCTCTGGATTTTCCTATAATTGTCGACGGACTCGATGTAGCATCCTTGACCATTCGCGCAGCTTGTATATACTTCATAACGCAACGCTTGAATCCAGTTTGTTTTCTATGCAGGATAGTGCAGGATATCTTCCATCCTGACTAGTTGTACTGGTTGTGTTTATCGCGCAGCTGAAGTCATATCGTGGCGCGTTAGCGCGCGCGTGTCGGCTTGGATCTTATTTGGTATTCTGTCGTACAATTTTAACTCCACCCAACTGCCAACATCATCGGCTATGATATACCCGTAGTAACATCTTATGGTTCCACTTGGCAACTGAACTGTGGCTTAGGTACGAGCATCTCGGAGGATTGTAGTGTGTTCGGCGCGTTGACGGAACGGACGTGCTTACTGGAGTGTGCTTAGTGTGCTCGTGCTATGAGCCTTTATAACATTTTGATGGTTTCAGCTAGTTTGGCAGAGTGAGCACCTTTGTGTTTTTACAAGCGACAGTCGAGCGCGCAGACTGTGAGATCCGTGAGCACCATTTAGCACGAAGTAGGATTGCTCGTCTGATGGAACGCGCAGGTACATCGGCCACTACAGCCCACTTCAGATGCTGACA